TGCTGAACTGGAGGCTTCTGGGACTCGCTGCGAGTCTCGCATTGACGTCAGCGAGCGCAAATGGAAATCTCAGCTGGCTCTGATAAACGGCACTGCTAATTGAATTAGAGAGAGCTCCCAGCCACCAGCTAATTATGCTTCTCAGGCAGATGCGTTGTCCAGGTCCATTTAATTCTATATTGGCTGAGCGCTCCAGTTCTGGCATGGAGAAAGGGAAATATATTACAGCTCCCCGCTGAGGAGCGCATATTTTCCAGCTCTTTAGGCTGAGGCATCTGCTAGCCCCAGGCACTTGCACTCTTGCCCTTGTGGTTTCCATCGTAAAATAGTCTTAATGCAAGATTAACGATCCACCCCCCTTCCTGCTAAAATATCCTCACCCTTGGTTTGGTAAGAGACTCGGGCTCCTGCCATCGTGCCGTGCTCTGCTTTCTGTTGGCTAGAATGATTTTTTTTTTTTTAAAATAGCCAAATCTCTGATTAAGCTAGTGAGCAGGGTGGAATTTATTCACTTAGACAGAGTCCGAATGGTGGCAGCTCATCCTGGCTCCTGCTCCCTCCACTGTCTCCTCTCTCCCCTAGTGCTTCCTTCAGTATCTCTGGTGGCGCTTGGACACTTGGCAGGGTGAATTGAGACTGCAAGATGCAGGGAGAAATATCTCTTTATTTCTTGAAGTGCATCTAGCTCTCCCTCCCAGAAGGAGGGACTTTGGGCACGCACGGAGCCCCATTCCCTTTGCTCCTACTCTCATACACGTTGAAATCAATGAAAGAATTGCATAGTCTCCAAGCAAGCATTGGATTAGACCCTTTCACCTCCACTTCATAGCTCTCAAGTTGGCTCGATGAAGCCCATGAAGCAATGCTCTCTGCTGGTCAAGATTACATAGGCTCCAAGAGTACAAATACAGAAGAAACTATGAAAATCCCATCTGTTCAGCATTGTGTGTTTCTCCACCTCTTAGTATGTCATGTAGTGTCTTGGGTTGCAAAGTCTGACCTGGATTAGGCTGCAGGTGAGAAAGATTTGTCTCCCACCACTGCTCGCCACTGCTGGAAGTTGCACCAAGAGTTGCACACAACCCTCCAAGACTCACCCTTGCATGTGGAGCAGCCTAGCGCAGAGCAGCCTTGTGCCTCAGTGCCCAGTAGGACCAAAATGAGATGCATCTCTTCTGCTAGAAACTGGCTGCTGCTTAACAAGTATGGAAGCTCAGTTCCTGAGTGCCAGATGCGCTGGTGCCAGCACCTGCCTTGTGAAAGCAAGTGGACTGAAGAGGCAAGTGTACCTGGGGGGATCACCTCTTAAGAGCTGAGCTGTGATGTCTTTGGTGTCAGAGCTGTTTTTATTTTTAGGATGCCTGTCTTTGGTTTTACTTGGGTCCTCAGGCTGGATAATTGGAGTTGGTGTGAATTCTCTCCTTTCCGGCTGTCTTAATCCTGTTGATAAGATCTTCAATAGCACTGCAGAGGCAGCAGTCTCGTTAGCAAAGGCGTGTTAGGCATCCCATAGCCCTGATTGAAAAACCCCAGTGCCTGAGTGTCAAACTCCTGTAGAGGAGACTTACTTTCAGAGTCAGGGCTGGCCATCCTTGGGGCTTTGCTTCCTCACCGTGAGTGCTAGCAATGTGTTTCAGTGGTTGCTGGATTGTGTAGCTGAGACCGCAGGGGCACATCATGTGGGCTGCATCACATGTGCCGGCCATATGCTTAACACCTCTAGAGCATAAGACGCAGCACAAGGAGCGCTGTTGGTGAACAGGTGGAAGGGATGGGAGCTGGGGACATGCTAATGGCGTTTCTGCATGTCTCTGGGACACGCCAGTGCTAATTGCAGCCTCGTTGGGGATTTCGGCTATTAAGTGCCGCCGCTTCAAAAATCAGCTCCTCTGTTACCAGCATGCCAGCGGCTCACGCAGCACTGGCAAGACAGCTTCAAGTCGGAGAGGAGGGAGAGGGCTCTGTTGTCAACGTGATGCGTCTCCGGATGGGGTAATTTGAGGCAGTTTCACCGTGCAGTCTGCACGCTCCGAGTCTGCCACACAGCCCTGGGTGCCACCTTCGGCAAATTAAACAAATGACCTCCCTCAAACACAAGCTGTTCTTCTTCCCTACCCAGGCCTGGTGCTCAGTCCCTGCACACGTTCTGCTGCCCTCCTCCCATAGCACGCCGGCTTCCTTGCTCGTTATTCACGGTCCTGTTTTTTCACAAGCTCCAGAACAGCTCCACACTGCTCTCCAACGTGAAATGAAGTGAGAATAAGCCTCTCGCTGCAGAGCCACAGGCTCAGAGCCTGTGTGCACAGCAAGCTCTGTGATGCTAGGGCTGGGGCAACGGAGGACAGCTGGGCCCAGTAGGGCTCGGCGATGATGCAGTGTCTGTTAGCTCCAAGGTGCAGAGATGGAAGGGCACAAGCTGCTCTTCCAGGGGCTGCCATTGCTTCCCGCTACCTGCTTTCACTGAGCAGGCCCAGGGCTGAGCACTTCAGCATTCACAGGGCAGTGTGATTTGCAATTGCTGTTTTACTTCGGGGAACATCCCGGGTGCCATGCGATTCGTAAAGGCTCTGAATGTTGTTGCACAAAGTTTTGTTCTCTGGAGGGAATTCCTCAGCATGTCACAGCCCAAAATGCAGACCCTGGGCTTGGCAGAGAGGAGGGCCAAGTGCTGCTCGGTGTTGAGAGGATGCACGGTCTTGGGGTGAGGGTGGAGCCTGGGGAAAGCTGCAGGCTGTCACCCCTGCCTCTGGGACCAGCCATTAGGACTTCATGCCTCAGTCATATGGAAAGCATGATACTTCCCCCAGCCCTTCATCTCTTCGGGCTGTAAACTCTTCGAGGGCAGGGAACGTCCTCTGCGATGTGTTTGTTCAGCCCCTAGCACAGAGGCGCCCTGAACCCGACTCTAGGTACAAACAAGAAACGGCGCACCAGGCTTTCCCGGTAGCAAGCTGCAGGGAATCGGGAGGCTGCCGGTCTCAGCTTGATACCCAGCCGTGCTGTTTTCCTGTGCGCCGATGTAGTCCACGCAGAGCCAGTGCTCACAATGGCAGTTCCTGCCTTTGTCTTTAGGCTGCGTCTTTGCTTTAGAAATATGCCTCGAGGCGGCTATATAGAAAGCAATCAAGGCCCAGTAACTTCCCCTTTAATTAGGCTGCCTGGCACAGTTGGATTGCGCACGACTCCAGTCTCCCCTGCGCTATCTGCAAGCTGCCCAAATCACAGGGCATCTCCGGCCTGAGCAGAGAGCTCGCGCCTGGGAGGCTGTTTTCTGTCTCTGGCGTCTCAGCACGTCGCAGCCCAGAGATTTGACCAGTCCTGCTGCCTCTCCAGCCTTTCGTTTCCTGGAAGACGTTTGCATGGCTGGCATGAGTTTTACCTCTATCAGAGCTGGTAATTTCCCAGCAAATGTAATCCGAAAGAGATAAAGGCTTAAAATTAGCTCCCATGTTTGGAATAAAAAGGCCCTGTGCCCCGCCACCAATGTCTAGAAATTGCTAAGTATCGCTTAGCTTTTCACTGGCAGCTTCAGAGCCGAGGCTGAAGGAAATTATCTTATTTTTGCACTCCGTATTTAGAGACGGAATTAATACGATCTGCTCAGCAGAAGAATTCACGCGCTTAAAATGTACCAAGCTAGCAGCGCTCCGGCAATTAGCAGCCAAACAAAAGAGCGCTAATTTGCTGCCGCCATCAAGCCTGTCACACATAAGTACCCGAATTGGTCCAATTGTGGCAAAATGCTGTTAAACACTAGCTTCCAGCCCTGGAGGGTCACAGGGTGGGCAACCCAGGGAAGACTGACAGCCTGCCACGCATCCTCTCTACCAGGGCTGAGGGCGGTTCCTCTCTTCCCTCATGCAAGATGCTCAGCAGAACAGCAGTATGCCGAACCCATAGAGCTTGCGGGTTGCTTTCTGCCGCGGGAGAGAGGTGGAGGGGAGAGCAGGTTGCATCCTAGAGTGAGGAGCATGGGAAAGCTGCATGCGGACCTGCTTCTCTGTTGCACTCGGCGCAGCTCGGGGCTGGGTGAGAGTTTTGAAGTCATCGTGCTGTGTCCCCTTATTGCACCAGAGGCCTCGCCAGGGCTGTGCTGACTTCCCCCTGGGGCTATAACATCTGGAAGTACGTTGCTTTTCGTAAGCATAGCCCCCGACTTATACGGCAGGACGATGGGGGGAAATGTTCTGGACCGACAAGGAGGGCTGCACTGGGGCTGGCCGTCCTGACGCAACAGCTCTGGCTGTAGCAGTCTAGGCAAAAGTGGTAAGAGCTCAAGGGGTTTCTCCTCCTTGCTGGGCTCGCGCATGAAGCCCCCTGAGGTGCCTGCCCACCCTGCATTTCGGCTGATGAGAGAAAGGCCAGAGTGGAGCTTATCGTGCCTCTGTTGTTGCTGTTCCCCACATGACTGTCGTGAGGCCTGCAGCCCATGTCCCATCCCAAGCACCATCAGTCTTTCTGTCCTCCTTTGCCTGTGCCTACCACTATGCCCACCTTCTGTTTCCCTTTGGCTTTTAGGTCCTCCAAGTTGCTGCGTGCGTTCTACATCCCTTTCCTGTCCGAACAGCACACGTCGTACGCCAACTACACCATCCTCAAGCCCCGGAGGTCAAAGCAAGCCAGGAAAAAGATGGGAGGTTAGCAGTGCACCCAGCGGACCAAAAAAGGCTCATTGCTGGCCAGCTGCTTACGCCTTCCCAAAATCCCCCTTTAGAAAAAATGTGCTTGTAAGATTCAGTAATAAAGATCCCCCCAGTGATTTCACTCTGCGAGCCTCCAGCTGCAAAGGGTACATCGTCCGCTCTCGGTTCGTGGTGTCAGGTCTCCGCTCTGCCTACACAGTCTGTTTCCAGAACATATTGGTAAGAAGCCGTTTGAAAATCCTGCAGCCACCTACGAATACACATCCCCGCTGCTGCCTGCATCATGGCTTATTGGGCTAGAGAAGAGAAACAACTACAACAACAAGATGCGACTGTGTTCAGCTGTGCTCCAGGATACAGTTTGCTACCAAGAAAATCCAGAGCCTCTTCTCTCTCCCTTGCTGTCTCTCTTTCTCAATAGTCCTCATCTATTTAATAGCTGCTTGCCTACTCTTCTCAACCATTTTCAGACATTAGCACATAAAAAAGAGACCACAGCAGAGACACTGATCCTTAAACGCAGAGAATCTCTGTCACCAGGACAGTCCATCTCATCCCATAGAGAAGGGGTGCTAGGAGCCCCCTGCCCAGAGAGCGTGGTCCAAGGAAACACTTGCACTTTGGAGCAAAAAGCAAAAACTGTGACTTTGCAAGTTCTGCCTTTTCCCAGGTTCCGGTTTGAATTTCTTTGAGCTCCATGTGACTCATTTCTTGTCCTCAATGTCCTGAAATGGCCAGGGGTTTTGTTTATTTTATTTATTCTTGTTGCTTATTTTTAAAGAACTGTGCAATATCCTTTGAATCCTGGTCTCTTACGTGTAAAACGACTGGAAACGGCACCAGGGGACAAAAGGACGATTTCTGTGATGCGATTTCCCAGCTCCATGAGCTACCAGCTTCCTTAGCAGTCCACTTTGGCAGAGACTCCCCAGATTGATGCCGTACTTAATTGCATCCAGGTTTTACAGCCTTGTCCTGCCTTACGAGCCAGATTAGAAACAACGTTTACATCAGTCTCCTAGAAAATTGCAGAAAGCAGACGGGAGGGAAGGTGGGAAACGCTTCTCTCTCCCCAGAGGAACCGCACAAATCCTGTGCCATACTTGCTACCCGTTGGGAGGGTTGGTTTGTGGCCAGAATAGCCCCTGAGAGCTGTGCCTTGTGCTGGGAGGAGAGTCACAGCGATAGCATGCATGCAAGAGCCAGCAAGTGAGATGGGGCTTGGGGAAGGGCTGAGAGTAGGTTTGCCCCGTGCATGGTCGGGGGATGCTGAAGCAGGCCGGCTGGTCGCTGGCCCAGTGGGGGGTAGGGAAATGTCACAAACAGGTCCATGCACACTGGTCCGTGGAGGAGACAGCCGGGGCAGGGAGGCCTCTAGGCAGATTAACAGCTGAGCAGGCTGTTGTCACAGGGTCAGAAGGGCAGGCTGCAGCACTGAGGCTGTGATTTAATGTGACGCTATTGGGTCAGAGCAGTAGCTGGGAAGGGAACCGTGCATGGCTTTAACTTGGAAAATGACCTTTGTAGAGGAGAGCGGAGCTGGGGCCCTGGCAGAGAGACCTTCACCGGGCACGTGAAATCCCAGTGTGAGGGAGCAGGCGTAGGGCCGGGTGCCCTCTTGCTTTTAAATCCCATCTTAAAATACCAGGCAAGGAAGTTGGTGTCCCAACAGGCCTGGGATTTGAGACTACAGAGACTAATCTACCAGTTCCCCAGGTAGAGATGGTCTAAGTAGGTCTTTCTTGAGCATGTCCTGGAGTTTCAGCCCCTGCAGCTGGCCTTGAACTTGTCTTTGCTCAGCCCCATCCACCCCCCGGGGAGAAGTGTTTGCTTTGCCCGGTTCTCATTCCTCCTGTGTGTTTGCTAGCTCACAGGGCTGATGACCGCTTTGCTGTGAACACAGCAACCCCAGACGGGACAGCATGGTGTGTACGGTGCTTGGCGCGCTTTAGGAATGGGGCTTCTTTAAGGTGTTTTGGGTTGGGCACCAAAATACCAAGGTACGTGGGAAACACTTTAGCCAGGTGCTGTTGATCCGTGGTCCCTGGGCAGCCAGGTCCGTAGGGCCAGTGAATCGCCTGCTTCTGCTACGTGACGCTGAGCTGCATTGTCAGATCTACCCCTAGTCTCGTATGGACCAGTCTGCTTTCGTCCTCACCCAGCACTCAACCTGCATAAATCAGCTCCATGCTGCAGTGCTGGCATTAAGGTTTCCATTCTCCCTAACAGCCCCATATCCCTTGGTGAAGGCTGAAAGAAGAGGGTGCCCCCATCTCTGTTTCCTATTTAATTTTGTGCTCGCAGAGATCGTTCCTCCTGGGAGAAGTCTTCCAGCTCCAATTTAGCCTTACAGCATATTTGGGCAAGCCTGTTCCCCGGAGGATACGTCTTTAGTGATGTTGACAACCGTGCCAGCAGTCTGCAGCAGAGTCTACCCGGTGTCTAGCACCCGTCCAGGAGAAGGATGGCAAGTAGGACCCCAAGTGGAAACAACGGGTGATCCAAAGGCAGGGAGGGGCCAGCTGGGCAAAACAGGGACATGTGCTTTTCTTCCTTTTTGCACATCCTTAAGGAAGATTTACTCTATTGAATGCAAAAAAAGGTTGGAAAAATGCAAACTGTGGGAAGGGCATGTTCCTGTCCATACTTTGTTGCCTGGACTAATCCTCCTGAACTAATCCTGCGAGGTTGTACAGGCCGAGATGAAATTCTCCCCCGTGCAAAGGAGCAGCACAAGCCACAGGCCTGCTTGGAGAGCCCATGGGAGGTGTCAGCCCTGCATCAGTCTTGGGCAGGTCCCTCGCAGAGCAGGCATTTCATCCTGGCATCAGCGGTGTCTGCTTTGCTACAGCCTTTGGGGGTGACCCTGGAATTTCCCTTTTCAGAGCAGCAGGCTGCACAGGAAACGAGTGACTTCAGGGTCCGGGTTCAGTTTCGGATGAAACTCATGTCACCAATCAGCCCTGCAGTGCGTGTGTCGTGCTCCCGTGAGTGTTTTTAACGGGCTTTCCACCCAGAGCGTTTACCTTGGCGTAACTGGGCTCTCTTGTGCCGCATGAGGGCTCACATGTGACTTGAAACCCAACCAGCCGTCTGCTTCCCTCCAGGTTTCCACTTATCGATGAAATAAAGAAACACAGACTGCAGCTAGGAAGAGCCCAGCAAGCCCTTCTCTGTGGTGCTGCTTGTCTCACTGCCCCACCTCTGTTGCCACCTTCCTTTTCATGTTCACTGTGGAAAGATAGTCCAATAAACCTCTGTTTTAAATTACTCTGGTTTCACCGCCCTTTCTTATTCTGGGTTAAACTCCATTTTTTGGGGACCCTGATTGATGGGAGTTGTTGCTCTGCGGAGGTGCAGTCTTGCTTCTCCTTCAAACATACATGCTGAGTTCAACGTGCACATGCACAAATGCCCCCACGCACCTAGCCGCACACTCGCATGCACACACTGTATGCATTTCAAAGTCCCAGTGCCCTCAGTTTGCAGGGACAGCCTTTTCCAACCATTGCTCCCAGTCTGATCAATCTGCCCGTCGACCTGCCTTTGAGGGAGCTGCATCTGAGCCCTGGCTACATGCAAAAGGCTGGGGTGGAATTTGCTTCTGACGGCAGAAACGAGGTCCAAGCATCGCCATGCAAAACCGACGGTTTCCATACTCTGAACACATTGCGCCCTCCTGGGGAATCCCCTGGTGCGGGCACACTGCATGGCGGAGCTCATGCAGAACGAAGCGGAGGCAGGGTGTGTGTTGGGGTTTCTTTGGGGTCTGCCTTGAGCAGGCTGTGAAGCGTGAGGCTAATGACTGAGGGAGGAGGGTATCTGCAATGAGAGGGCACCGAGCTGCCCCTGCAGCAGCCCAGAACTCAGCGCTTCCAGCACCGGTTGGCAAGCGACTGCCAGGGTCTCGCACCAGTGCAATGATGGGTAGCAGGGCCCCTCGAGTACAGCGGTAAACCCCCAAATGCTATGGATTTGTTTGCTTCTGTGTCAGGGGGGACCCGACAGCCCTGATCTAGAAATGATCACCCAGACTCACAAGCCGCACCTGTGGCTCCAGCTGCCCATGTTCCAAGCAGCAGCTTTGTCCCATCAGGGCGGAGGGCCTCACCTGGGAGCTCCAGGGGCTGCCTCCCCTCCCTGCTGCACCGTAGCCAGCATGGAGCTCCTGCCATCCAGCCCCGCACAGAGGAGCCCAGCTCCTCTCTGCCTGCCGCCAGCCTTCGCCAGCACCCGGGGCCGGGCTTCCGAGATAGGAGCAGCTTTCCAAGTGTTTGATTGCACTTTGCGCCAAGCAAAATGGGGCAGATCGGGGGGGAGGATGGGGGGTGTTTATGGAGCTGCTGCAGGAGGGATCAGGACCGTGGTGCAAAGGGGCTGCAATCGTGCCGTTCTCCTGTTTGCTCAGGCTCCCGGTTCTCCGGGCGCTGCTGGGCCGTGCATTTCAGCCCCCTGTGGCCTCCGAGTGTGGCCGGGGACTCGGCGCGTGTCCCCGTGCTGGGGGATGCTCTAGCAGGGCCCATCTGTCCCCTCTGCATGCTCCAGCGGTGCCTGCAGAGCAGCTGAAAGGTCAGCCTGACTCTGTAGGAGGAAAGAGCAGAGCAAGTGAACAGGCCAAGCCAGCACAGCCCCTCCACTCCCCCAGGCCCTGTCCTTGTGCCAGGGCAGCTGGGCTTACGTTCAGCGGGAGGAGGGCTGAAGCGCGCTTGCAGCTGTGTGAGGCTGAACCCAATCAAGTGCTCATGGCTGATGCAGGGCCCGGGAGCCCGGTCTCCTGGGTTGCACTCCAAGCCTTGGGAGGCAGCCTGGGCTCGTGGCTGGCCGTGGGGACGAGACGCCAGGATCCCTGGGGTGGGAGGAGAGGGGTTTCCACTCCCTCAGGGCTATGCACCCCGCTGGAGAAGCGTGCAGTGGAGGAGCACCGCTCGCTAGACTGAGATGCACTTCTCCTGTTTCCTTGCAGCAAGAAGAGGAGGCTGGTGGGTCATTCCCGTGCTCAGCAGTCGCTTGTTCTGGGCATCTGTGTAGACTGGAGACTCTCGAGGCCACGGAGGATCTTTCATTTTGTGTTCATGCAGCGCCTGACACCAGGGGACCCCCGTCTCCCCTCCACCCTGGCCGTGATCTCCGGGAGAGGCTGTCCCACAAATGAAAACCCCGCTCAGGGGAGATGGAGCGTGCGGTGCCCCGCTGCCAGGGAGCTGGGCTGCAGCTGGCCTGGGCCCCTTCTGACTGTGCATCATCTCCGGGAGAGGCCCTGGGGACCACAGGAGCCTCCCAGCTGCTTTGTGCAATGCTGCATGAATCATGCAGCCCAGCAAGCCCAAACCCTATTATTAGCCTTTGGAAAGTGCTGCCTTAGAGACAGGCTTGCTTATAAATATCCCTTATTTTCTCTCCATCTCCGCGCTAGGGGGCTGGCATGGAAAGAAGAAGGAGTCTTTTGCCGGAGGATTGTGCCTGCCCCTGCTGCCGCCGCCGCCTCCCCCCCTGGGCGCGCTCTCCCCAGCCCAGCTCATCAGCCGCTTGCTGCGACGTTGGCTGCCACGTGGGGGGTGTCAGAGATTTCATACAAACCCCGGGGCCAGCTCTTCCCAGCATGCTACAGCACGACGTGTACTGGGATGACTGGGATCAGTTCCCCGCCTCTGATGCCTCCTGGCAGGACTTTGGCCAGTCGGTGAAAGGAGGCTGTTCACCCATCCAGCCCTCCCCTGTTGTCTCTCTCACCCACCACTGGCCTGATCCAGTGGAGATACTGGGCCTGGCCTGATGGAGAGCCCAGCCACGGCTGGGGCCTCTCTGCCATCAAAACATGGATAATAAAGACAGCGATGCTCTCCCCACAGCCACCCCAGCCCCTGCTTCTCTGGCCCTCGCGCTTTCCTCCCCAAGATCTTGCAGAGATCGTCCTGCCTTTCATGCACTGAAAGCCGGGGTGATGCTCCCCTCCACAGCTCTTGCCGTCATCACTCTCAGCTGTGCCCAAAGTGTGGGACATTACCCCCATCACCTCCCATCTTCGGGCCGGCACAGGGATCTGGAGGAGGAAATGAGGTATGTATTTGTTACATTATTAATTGAATCACTGACTCCTGCCTTGTGGGGGCTGTTGAACAGAGAGGCCAGAGCATCCTGTGTCACCCTGCACCCCCTTCCTGAAATGGCTGCCTCGTAGTCCTGCATCACTTCTGCTCCCGCTGGCGCGGGATCTTTGCGGGTCCATCCATCAGACATAGAAAGCCTCAGTCCGAGCCCTGCATTGGCGGGGTTGCCCTGGTCCCAGGCCCTGCCTGCCATTGCCATTGCTATTGCAATGTTTAACTCCGCTCTCAACAAAGGCACCCCCGTGCCGCACCCCACAGCTGCTGTCGGTGCTGGGAGCCCCGCACCTGTGGTCAGCTGGGCGGCAGCCCAGGATTTGCTGATGATCCCGCAGGCTGGAGACAGAGCAGCTGTCTCTGCAGCGTAGGAATGAGAGTGGAGGGAGCATGGCGCTCTCCCCAGCTGACTTCCTGCCCTTCGGGCGGGGGGCTGGACTCGATGATCTTCCGAGGTCCCTTCCAGCCCTGATGTCTATGAAATCTATGAAATCTTGCCCTGAAGGTGGCCGGCATGCCTTTGGCTTGGAGCTCCCCAGGCCTCCCTTTGCAAAGCGCTGGCTCCAAGGTAGGTGACACAGCAGGGAGGGAGCAGAGCTGGGTCCCCCTCCTCCGGCTAGTTTAGAGCCCTGCTCAGGGTCCTTTCGTGCTGCCGGCTCAGCTTCCTCTGCACCACTTGCCAAGTTAGACAGATCGTGGTCTTCCTTCCCCTCTCACCAATGCCTCTCTGGCAAGAGCCTGGCACAGGGAGGGCAGCGGGTGATCTCATCACCAGCCGTGATTGAGAAGGGATTATCTGCAGCACCTGGAGCTGCCAGAAGTGGCCTAACTGGGAAGGGAATACATTTTTTCCCTGGTGCCAAGGAGAGGAATTGAGTTTGCTGCAAGGTTTCAACCAGGAATAGGCTGCGGGTGTTGGCGAGGGGGTAGGGTGCCGGAGGAGTGGAAGGAGCGCCGTTTCTGTTTCCCCAGCCTGGGCTGTAAATCCTTTTCCGCTTCTCTCCGTCTCCACCGTGGATCCCGGGCGGAGGGGGAAGGGGAAAGACACTTGCTGGGGTCGTCTCTCCTTTCACCCAAACCATAGCTCGGGCACCTGGTGAGAAGTGGGCTGGGGGCTGCGGAGGGAGGCTCCCGAGGCCGTTCCTTGGGCTCTCAGTAGAGGGCATCCTGCTACCGCAGAAGCAGGCATGGGACAGGCACCGCGTGCCCGGCGGGGGCATCGTGGCAGCGCTGCCGGGGCGAGCGGGATATGGGCAGCTGGGGGCGAGGTAGGCGATGCCCACCTCTGCTCCTGGCTCGCGAGCTCAGCTGCTGCCCACCTGCCGCAGGAGACAGGCCTGGCGCCTGGCGTTTCCTCTCCTGAGCACAAGGTGCGATGGCTGCACAACATCCAGGCCCTGGGTTTCCTTCCTATCCCTCCCCCAGCCCCCAGGGACGAGACAGGGGAACAGGCTTCCTCACCAGGCCCTGCCTTGCCTGGGACTAAAGGGAACAGGATGGGCAGGTGAGTGAGTGCAAGAGACTATGAAGGGGCTGAGCCTACGGACAGGCTCTCTCCAGCCTCGGGCATGCCAGGGGTACCTCTGCGTCCGCACTGCCTGCACCCCTTGCTCTGCCTGCCCGACCCAGGCAGGTACACGGAGGCAAGGGGTAGCTGCTCACAGGCTGGGAGCTGTCCATCCCTTAGAGGCAACTGCCTCTGCTCCACACCGTCAGCAAAACCTCAGATTTCTAGGGTGGCAGGTCAAGTGCCGCCTCCCAGGAGCGTCTGAATGCCTCCACGTTCCCAAGTCCTACATGCACGCCCCAGCACCCGTGCACGGACCGCAGGAATGACTGCCCCAGGCCTGTCCCGTCGCGGTTCCTGAATCCCTCTTTGCTGATCAAATGACTGGGCGGCTCGTATCTGCTGGGGTGAGAGAGCAGCCTGCACCTAGTCCTGCAGTCTGGTCATGCCAACCCAACTTGTGCTGCGACAGACCTGGCTGCTGCCGGCTTTATGTTCCCAGCCCCCGGTCGCGTGGATGGGAAGAGAAAGCTGGCGTCTCAGAAGCCAGCGGGGAAGGTTTCTTTGTGCGTGTGCAATTCTGCGCAGGTTGGACGGCGGCCCGGCTCCCGTGGCGCGGACCTCTGCGTATCGAGCTCTGCA